CTCGAATCGTATATTAGGAAGTACTCCTGGGCCTTCAAGTCCCATACTAGGGGGTACCCTTGGGTCTTCAAGTAATACACTCAAAAAAAATAAGGTACCGCACGAAACCAAAGATAGTTTTGTAATCTCTACGAAAATTTAAAATGATTTCGTATGAAGCACGAAACTTAAGAAGGTTTCGAATTTTGATACGAATTCGAAGCCTTTTTGAGGTTTCGTATGATACTTTTGAGATCTTCCAAAAATATTCGTGAAGGTTAGACAATCATTTTGAACCTTTCTTGGGATTTTACGAAAAGTTAAGAAAAGGTTTCGATTTCGTTGCAAAAAAAGTTTCGTATGGTACCATACTTTTTTCATACTACTACTCTGGTTACTATTATATCCTCAAATTTTATCCCCATAAACTTAGTCCCCTTCAGAAATGCCATTTTTCAATCATTCCGCAGATATAAATACAAGAAAAACTAAATAATTCGTGCACATCCACAGGTCGAAAATATCAACCAACAAAGGAGACACGAAAAGTCCATGCACCCTAAGTCGGCATCATCATTATTGCTTCTCTGGCACACATGAGTCGAATCTATTTGTGCGCTAGCAACCAGTTGTCTGATCACAACCGATCAAGTAAAATACAGCTTCCCATAATAACAGAACTGAATCGAATTATAACTTCAGAGTACATAAGTATCGTTTTCCTATTCAACACTAAAACCACATTTTCAACAAAACAACGAAAACGACGACACGTGAAATCCTTGACTTCTGAGTAATAAACGAAATCAGGTTACACTTACAAGTCACAATTTCAAATCGATGATACAAAAGTTTCTGACTGATCCCTATTTCCTCGGAGTGCCCATCTCTTCGATCGAGAAAATCGACTGCAGGGTTCTGAGATACTAATCCCGGTCTCCGCTTTCCCGACGTCGATATAGACTCGCCAGCCTTTAGAACAGTTCATTATTTTCTCAAAAAATCATCCCTACGATGAATAATGTAGGTGTCGATGTTTTCTTTATCTTGTCCCCAATCATGTCCCAAGCTAAAAGTAACTTTTTTCAGACACTTACTAGTTGGGAAAAGGTTAGGTTACTCCACTGCTCTCTATCTGATAGCGCTTCAGAAACTATCAGCACCCAATCCGATATCACCTCGGCAAATCCACCTGTTCTATCGAGAAGCACTTCAAAACTATTGGTCACTCATTCCGAAACTGTTTTAAAGACTTCAAGAACCTGTATACCAGATTCCATGAGGCTCTAGGCGTATCTTCTCAGATTGCTGGTCATGGCTAGTCGCCTCTCCCAGATTATAGACCATGTGAAATTCAAGGTACACCGATAGTTAGAGAAGTTCGAGAGACCTAATCGTTACAATCACCGGGTAACGGACAAGTTACTGTCCTCACTGTAATCCTAGAACGAGGAAACTATCCCACTACCAGCTTCCTGGTAACGGTAAGATCAGATTCCTAGTACCGCCTAGTATACAACTAGAGAATCCAAGAATACCTTCTAATTTGGGACATGGGGATCCAAGACTAGCTCCTCTAGAAGACCTTGAGGATTCAAACGTTCCCCTATAGTAGTACCTGAGAACCCAAGGATGCCCTCTATAGTAGGACTTGAGGACTGAAGGGTACCCCCGCTTAGTATAGGACTTGAGGGTTCAAACGTACCTCGCTATAATAGTACTTGAGGATCCAAGAGTATCCTTTATAGTAGGTCTTGTGGTTCCAATGATACCTCCCCATAGTAGTACCTGAGAATCCAAGGGTAGAGACGGGCGGAGTCAATTTTTTTTATTCCGATTCTGACTTCGACTCCGAAAAATTCCTTCTTTACGACTTCGATTTCAACTTCAACTTCGAAACTTTTTTACTTTTCGACTCCGATTCCAGCTCCGAGAAACTCCGAATCCTTTTTTTATAGAAGAAAAGGAAATCTCAAATATATTGCATTGTTTAATTCAGAGCATGTGGAAATCAATAATAAGGTTGCTACATTACTACAGTGAAGTCTCTCTAAAGTGAGCATGATCGAGACTACTGAAAAACGTTCATAATAAAGAGGTGTTCACCTTCGAGACGTCCATTTTCAGCAACAATGTACTTTTCGGACTCGTGAAAAACGCTAATAATAACGAGGTTTTCACTATAGAGAGCTGCTCGCTAGTAAAGGTTTTACTGAATTATTTTTTATTATTATTACTCAATAATTGGTAATCATTTTATATACTTTATTACTAGTAATACACTAATAACAACATTGCTTCTATGAGTTATTACTTTTAATACTATATGACTTGATAACACTTTTAGTTTCTGACTTTTGCTACTTTCATAGATTATTTCTAATTACCTACAGTAATTAATAACCTTATATGCTATTACTTACTACCAGTAATAATAATGCAGCCCCTAATCGATAGAGGAACAAATGAGTGAAGAAAAATCCAAGAATCATTAATAGATTAATCTGGAAGTTCTTTTACATTTGTTGTTCAGTGAAAATAAAAACAATCACTAAGAGGTTTCCTACGTGTACAATATCCAAGGAATCGAAAGTTGATGATCAAGAGAATTGTACTACTTCTGATAAAATTGAAATATATTCCCATTGACGAAATTATGCTTTTATGAGGTCGGTCTTTCGAATGATACGGCCGAAACGTTATCAACATGGGTTTTTCTCTTGCAACTCGTTCTTAAAATATGTGCCAACTGTTATCTTTCTTTCTTTTTGTTTGTCAAACTGAAGAGTTAGGTAAGTGTTATCTTTTTTTCTTGTTTGCATCTATAGGTAAACTTATTGTTATATGAAATAGCAAAACTTCATCAGAGATGAAATAATTCGAAAAAATTTTCCGAGTCGAATCGGAGTCAGATTAGCCTCCGAAAAATATTTTCAGTAAACCCGCTTTTAACTGCGGCTTCGATGGAGCGGCAGTTAGAATCGGATTTCGGAGTACTCCGCAGGTCTCTACCCATCGGTACTCCTAGTATAGAGCCTGGAGACTCAAGAGTACCACCTAGCATAGGAATTCAGGACGCAAGGGAATTTCCGTATGGTAGGACTTGTGGCCCCAAGGGTATCTCCCTATTGGCATGACCACGCATCGGTCACTCTCCCTTGGGGAAGGTTTAAACTCACAAAAATAAAAAAAAACTCTCTGTAAAATCAAAAGTGCACCACCGACGGTTTACGAAACATGTTGCAAACTCCGAGGCACTCTGCCGACCAGAGCCTATAAACCCTATTTTAATCCAACAGCCGTTCAACAAGATTCTTTTTGACTAATCTCACCAAAAAATTCAGTGTCGAACTCTGTTACATTTCATTCTTTTGTCTGAAAAATACATAGAACTTTTAATGTCATTTCGTTATGAGAGTGAAACTGACATACTCGGATGGTAAAACTGTCTGTGTGCTGCTCTTGGATTGAGGAAAAGATAAGTTTTTATCGTGGTAATTGAAAATTTCAAGATGTCAAACTATCCCCATTAGAAAATCGACAGAAAGACGAAATTCCGTAACGGACAGTGTTTACAGGTTTTTGTTTGATGTAATTATACTCTGTTCAGAAATGAACCAATATTCTGAAAGCTTGTAGAAAACTGAACACTTTGTATACATAGCTTTTAGTTGTATGTCACTTCCTTGCGCAGTAAAATACTTGTCTCCCTACTTTAAAAAAATTTCTTTTTTTTGAAATTCCGCAACGGTCAGAATATTTTTAATAGATCACCCTTGCGTGCATATAAATCGATGAAATTTTTATTGGTAATAGTTCCAAATGGTCTCTGTATCATAAAAATTTCAGGGAATTTGCCTTTATCTTTGATGAGATATAACTGTTGCAATGTAAAAAAATGAAATTCCATAACGCGTGACTATGCCGCTCTTAGAGTACTTGAGAACCCCGAGGCACCCCCTAGTATAAACGTAGGGACCCATTCGTACCTCCCATAAGAGTACTTCACGAGCCAAGGGTACGCTCCTAAAGTAGGACTTATGACCCCAAGAGCACCGTTACCAGTTACTCGATAATGGTAGCTTTCCACTCCTATTTTAGTTAAGTGCCATTAAATAAAATAGTCCAGCTTCTTCAAATCTTTCAAAATCTGTAAAATCTCCCAAAATCTTTTAAAATCTTTCAAAATATCTCAAAATCTTTCAAAATCTTAAAATCTGCTTTTTCCCCCTTGGAATACCCACAAGACTTCTACGATTCTTGTCCTTACTTAGGAACACATGGCCAGAAGCATGAGTAGAAATTATTTCAGGAAACAAAATCGTTTTCCTGCTGATATAAATTTCCCTTCATAAGTCAGATATCCCTCAGAGAAATTTTCTGACTAGCCTTTGGAAATGATATTCATTATTTTCTTTCCTTTGATTGAATCAAATATCTTTTTCGTAATAAAAAATGTCGAAAGACAAACAAGATAACGATGCAGATGATAACTAGCAAAACAAAGTTGTCATTCATATTTAGATAATATGCATTTTACGAATGATTATATGATATGTAAATTTTACTGTACTAGATTCTAATTGAATTATTTACTTGTAATGCAAACAGAATACCACAAAAAAAAGGAGATCAAAAAGTAAATTTATAAATGTTTATTGGATACAAAAAATCTTTTAATAATCATATTGATTTATAATACAAACCAGCAAAAAGCACGAGACTTGGAAGAAAGAAAGTATTAAACAATCAGTTTAAGGTTACATGTACGGCAAAATATTAAAGATTTCTAAAATATCAGCCTATCCAGAACGACAGATTCGACTGGGTCATGTCAAGTTAAGAGACATGAAACAATCATGACGCAATTTGATATAAAATGAAAAAAGTTCATGAAAGTGTCATTCGGTCAAGAAAAAAATATTTTGTCGTCCGCCGACATTATAACTAAAAAAAGAAACGAAGAAGATATGATATATATGTGAATAAATATCTTTTTCAATAATACTTTTTAACATTTAATGATGACAACAATGAAATCTATTGAATGTTTGCCGAACGAACTTTGGTTATTATTTATGAGTTTTCTTCCACCAATCGATCTTTATAGAGCATTGACTGGTCTTAATCATCGTATTAATTATTTACTTTCTTCTATGACTCCACGTCCGGTTCTCGATACATCGCAATGTGCTGGTGATGGAATATGTTTTTCTGATCTTCTTCAATTAATCGAAGGCAAAGATATTTGGTCTCAATTTCTTCTTTCTTCAATAGATACAATTCGTCTTTATGACACACTTGCTAGTGATACACTTTTTAAATACTATCAATCTTCAAAGCATTTTTCTTCACTTCGTCGATTGTATATAACAGGAATTTCTGATGAAATCGAAATATCACAACTGTTTGTTCCATTATCTACTACGCTTTGTGATGTTTATTTTACATTTGATGCACCTATGTGCAGCTCATCGTACTATAAAGTGGTAAATGGTTTTACTGATCATGGTTTATCATTTTATCGTATGGTATTTGATGTTGAAGATGGTAAGTTTCTGGGTCAGTTTTGTATCAATCTTTTTGATCTCAAATACAAGTTTGTTCTTCCGCAGATTGATAACACTCTACACTTAAATGGTCTAATTGAAAGAAGGAATGAAAGAGTGATAGTAGAAAAATAAAACAGTGTGAGCATCATGATATCATCTGATCTGAATAAATATTCAAATGTTTGACTTTTCTTTTAGATGATATTAGTGAATATTCGGATTCATATGAATATGAATGGAAACGAATGTATTTACCAAATACTGTTTATTTATCACTCTATATCAAGCGATTAGATGATCTATTCAATCTTCTTGATACTCAAGCATTACCTGTTCTTGATCATCTCAGTGTTGCTTTTATCACACGTGATCTCAAATACGATGTAAAAATGATGAATGTTAACAATATAACAAGTCGTTTACGTTCTCTCAAACTCAGTCACATGTCAATGAACAATCTTCTCATCTTTCTTTCATTCGTTCATATGCCTTTACTCGAAAAGCTCACACTGATTGATATTCATGATAATAGTAAGTTTAATAAATGAAAATTTAGATGTTTTACAAAATGAATTATTTCAATTTCTAACTAAACATTGAATTGTTTTTTTAATTTAGCACTCAATCGCCTTAACGAGTTTCAAAAATATTTTGAGACAAAGAAAAATCTTTCTGCTCTTCGTCCATCATCATTTCGATTTCTACTTCGTTTTCCTGGTGAACTTGAAAGTAAATGGAATAAATATCGTTATTTGCAATGGCCACTTGATGTTGTCAACATTGATCATTGTCTTGAAGAGCATCGTTTATCTGAAGTGGCATACTATCGTTCACGAACATTATCACTACCAAAGAAATATTCTCTTCTTATTTTTACTCGTTCATCTCTGCCCTTCCATCGAATCATACACAATTATTCTGCTGTAATGGCACTCAAACAAACATCATCAATTGAATGGACTTGCGATTACCTTGACAATTCTGAACAAATTTTTGAAGTTTTGTCAAAGTTTGGGACGATAAAGAAACTCAAAATTGGAACATGGTTAGGAACAAAATTGCAAAATGTATGTGAAAGTCTCATTACTCAAACGCGATTTGGGAAAGACTATTCCAAGTCCTCATGTACACATCTGAATCAACCTTTTTCTCATATTATTGACACGCATGGATCACAATAGTTGCTATCTGAGCTGAGCAAGAATTAAATCTCTCGAGTACGAGTACTTTGTCCAGCTCTGGTTGCCACACTATAGGGATCTAAAACGAAGTACGCAATATAAGAACTTCGTAAAGATTAATGACAGGTAATAGATATTTGTTCCAAAATCGAATATTTCTCCAACAAAAAGATATTAAATTGAGAAAGTGATCTATGTCAAAACTGTTTTTCTGAAGTTTTGATGCATGAAATGCGCAAACTTCAAGGTTTGTCCACAGCACTTGAGTTTCTTTTTAAGCAACTCAAATACTGTATGTATGAGAGAAAAAAGTCAATCATGTAGAAATAAATAAAAGAAATCACTACGTCTCTGTTAGCTGTTTAAAAAGTTATGTGTGCTTGAGTGATAAGAGGACAGTTTCTCGTTGAGCAAAATTTATATTGATGCTTGAATATTCTTTTATTTTTAGATTGCTGCTAAATCTATTATCTTTTCATCACCATCTAGTCGACTCCAATTAGATAAACTTCATTCACTCACATTCTTCAGAACTGAGAGTTCAGACAACTTTCTATGTAAATCGCAACAACATTTCTTTCTCCGTGTACTTCTTTCAGCAACAACGCAACTTGTTAAATTAACTATCAATTGGAATTATATCATGAGCATCGATTCAAATTTTACCAGAGAACATTCTGCTATCTCACCTCTCCTCAATTTACGTCATTTACATTTGTGGTATTTCAATCTAGATGGTAATTAACAGTTGTCAACATTCTAAAAACATAAAGACATGAGTTTACCTAAAACAGATACCTATTTATGTGAATATTAATCGTGAGATGAAAACTATCACAGATATGATTGATTTGGATTATTAGTCATTTCAGTAACTATTTTATGCTTCAAATTTTGATCTTGAGGAAAATAGGCTAACAGATTTCACCATTAAATTCAAACTTACTTTTTCATTTATTAAAAGGAATAAGAGAACATCTGATATGATGAAATTATCCGAACGGAAACGATCTTAAACAGTCAATTTTATTTTCTCTTTTTAGAACAAATAAATTTATCAAAGTTGACCGACATTTCTCTGTTATCGAAATTATTTCCAAAACTTATT